TTTTTTTTTTCCTTTTTTTTTTTTTTTTTTCCTTTAAAGTGTGTCTTTTCAGGCCTCTCCCCTTGGGGTGATGCCCCCTTTGCCTGACGCTCTCGACCCACTCTCTTGTTTTTGGATATCCTCAGTRGGCAGGAGGAAACGAGCCGTGCCTGGGGTTGAAGTGCTGATTTAAGCATGGTGTAGTCCTTGACGAGGCAGCAAGTCGTCGCTTGTGGAAAACCATCCTCGTGGAGTGTTTGTGTGAGATAACRCGGGACCCGACGCGATTCTGGTGCGAACCTTCCTAGGCAGCGACGGGGCCGTCCCGGCGCGCGGCCGCAGCCCCGGGCGGCCTCGCTGCAGGGTCCTGCTCCCACCTTGGCTTCTGGCCGGGGCCCGGCGAGACGGGGGCTTTGGGCGCCCCTCGTGCACCGGTGGCTTCGGTCCCGCGTGCCCCGTGCCATGAGAGCATCGTCGGGAAGATCCCGGCGCTGCGGTGTCCCTCGCTCCGGGATCAGTGGTCTCGTTTTGCCTGGTTTGTGCCTTGGTTTTGACTTGCTGCCCGAGCTGCTTCCCTTTGCCCGCSGGTGTCTTCTGCAAAACTTGCGTCGGGCCGAGTCTCCCGGGGCTGCGGGGGACGTGTCGGGCTGCRAGGAATGCTCAGCCCGAGGCTGGGAGAGCTCGGAAGCGTTGGGAGCTGCAGAAGGAGCCTCCTCGCGGCTCCTCCAGGAGGCTGCGCGGGCACCGGGAGGAGCGACGGCGGCGGCGAGGAGGCCGCGGGGCCCCGGGGCGCCTCAGCTGCAGCTCCCAGGCGCTCGAATGCCCGGGAAGGGCGCCGTGCTCCGAGACGGGCGCAGGCTGCGGGCGCAGACGCGCGGCGCTCAGCCCGCGCTGCGCCCTGTCCCCCCAGCGTGCTGCGGATGAGAGGAGGCCATGACCACCGATGARGCCACCAGGAGCGAAGGGGAGGTGCAGGCGGCGGCGCTGGCCGAGCGYGGGGAGGACATCACGCCTGCCCAAGACCGGGGCGTCCTCAAGGTGAGGCAAGCGGTGGCAGTCCGGGCCGTCCCCTTCCCTGCTTTAGCCTGGGAGGCGGGCTGCGCTGTCCCCATTCCCAGCCCTTGGATGGCCTGGAGCTTCCTGGACTCCAAGGTTGATCCCTCTGGAAGCACGGGGAGATGCACGTGTCCGGTGTCACTYGGCGTCGCGCCGGCCGGCTCCGTGGCTCTCCCCGCTGCTGTGTTTCTAATCAGGTTAYGGGCTGCAAGGCTCTAGGACCGTTACCCCGGCCAGCCGCCCCGCTCCGCACCCCTGCCCGTGTCCACGGCCTTTCTGCATCCTTCTAACCAGCGCCCGCTCTCCTCCCACTCAACAGGGCCTTTCCTCTAAGAATAGCATCTCCCCGGCCTCCATCCTCAGCCTGAGAACTGCTTGTTCCAGGCTGTAGCATTGCAAAAAAACCCACGTGTTGACAAGAAGCAAGCGGTGAAGCGACACGCCCCTGCGCATGGAATTAGCAGGGGCAGAAAGCGGCATCGCCCTCGCTCTGCGTTTCTGGCCGGGCTCTTGGTTCATGGCACGTCCCTCGGGAGGAGGGCTGCCGCGATGGCCCGCTGTGGCTCCGGCTTTCCCATGGGCTAGGGCTGCTTCGGGGGGCTGGCTCAGGGGAGGGTGGCAGCTGCTTACAGGGGGATTCGCGGGCTCTTCCCTAGGTTATTAAAAGGCCTGGCCATGAGGATGAGTGTCCCATGATTGGGGACAAGGTTTATGTTCACTACAAAGGAAAACTGGCCAATGGCAAGAAATTCGACTCCAGCCGTGACAGGAATGAGCCATTTGTCTTCAGCCTGGGCAAAGGTGAGGAGTGGGACCCGGGGCTGGAAGGAGCAGGGTCAGGGGGGCTGGAAGGAGTGGGACCGGGAGCCGTGTGGAGTGGGGTCAGGGGCCGTGTGGAGTGGGATCGCAGCTGCCCTCCTGCCCAGGCACCACAGGGCTGCGGAAGGACCCCGCGTGGCCCCCCCRTTTTCCATCAGTTCCGCCCCCTCCGTGCATTTCTGGGTTGCTCCCCCCAGGCTGCTTCCTCAGGCCGCAAGTSGTTCCCTGCTGCCTCACACCTGCCTCTCCCCCAGGCCAGGTAATCAAGGCGTGGGACATCGGGGTGGCCACCATGAAGAAGGGAGAGATCTGCTACTTGCTGTGCAGACCGGAATATGCCTACGGCTCCGCTGGCAGCGCCCCCAAAATCCCCTCCAACGCAACGCTCTTTTTCGAGGCAAGTACAGTGTGGAGGCCGGGCTGCCGCGGGGGAGCGAGCGCTCTCCCTTTGGCTCTGCCAGCCAGCTCAGAAAAAACAGCTTGGATTCCTGAAATGTGTCGCTCCGCTCCAGGAACTGGTGCCAGTGTTTTCTCAGAAATTGTGTGTCTGAACTGGCGAGGCCGCGACCAAAGAGCAGCTCCGCGCAGCCCAGCGGAGAGGCCGGCCTGGGAAGCGCGGGGAAAGCGCTGGCAYGAAATGGGGAGGCCAAATAAGAGCCCTGGGTTAAAACTGTGYGCGGAGCAGAGCACAATGGCTCGGAAATGCCTTCACGTGCTAGGAGACTGATGCGGGCGCCGGGCAGCTCACGGGCGAGCGCCTGCGCGGCCGCTCAGCGCGTTTGCTGCTCTGCGCACGCGCCCGCCCGCCCGGGCACCGCGTGGGAAGGCGGCAAAACCTCAGCAGAAGAAACAGCCCCGTCCTGAATTAAGGCTCGATCCCTCTGGGTCCGGCTGCTTTTTGCGCCGCGGAGCTGAGCTGGGCCGGTATCAGCAGCAGATGCAGTGGAAAGTCTGTGTTTTCGGGCTGCCTTTGGAGCCGTTTTCCTTGCACCTTCCCGCGCTGTTTGCAGTGCACCCTCGCAGYGTTAACCAACTTGGTTTGACTTTGGGTTGCGTTGCAGGTACTGGATGTGGCCCAATTTGTAATAAATTGGGTCTATTATACTGTGGCTTGGAGCTGGCTTTTATGGGCAACTTTTGCTTGTCAGCTGAATGGAGAATTAGTTTGCTTGGCTCTCCAGCCCTAGGATGAACTGTTGCTTTGTGGGTTTTTTTGCTGTTTTTCTTCTCTCCTCCCCCTCCATCCAGAGCTCTGCCTAGTGTTGGGTTTTTTTTTTTCCCTCTCTTTTTAACTTTTAGGTTGAGTTGCTTGATTTCAAAGGTGAAGACTTATTTGAGGACGGAGGGATAATTCGGAGAATCAAGAAGAAGGGAGAAGGTTATTCCAACCCAAATGAAGGCGCTACGGTAGAAAGTGAGTATCAGTCTGTCTGCAGCACGTAGCTATAGGCACCAGAGCAGTGAAGTGCTGGGGTGGGAACGGGGACGCTCTTCATATCCGGAGGGGGAAGCCTAAATTGGAGCAGCCCGTTCTGTTGCTGTTGTTCCTTTTTCCCTTTGCGCTACCCCTTTTTCTGGCGAGTCCCTAGCAGAGCGCACTGGAGCCGCGATTCCCGGCCGTAGGAAGCGCGTGTTCCGCGGCGGGGAGCTGTCGTTCGCTGTGTCCCGAGGCCGGGCAGGACGGAGGGGAGTCGGGAGGGCAGCGGTTAACGGTCTGCTCTGGGTGTCAGCATCAGGTGTGTCCATATGAATTCCCCCTTGGCACAAGCCAGCAGGGCCCCTCCAGGGCTGCTGTCTCGAGGGGTTACTGGAAAGCGTCAGGGAGCGGCAGCGGAGCAGACGGCCGGTGATGGAGCGACCACTYGAATACAACCTGCTCTGCGTTTCCGTGGCCCCGCGTCCTGCTCGGGCGCTCCGGGTTTGACAACCACCAAATTGCTGCGAGCCCTGGGGCTGCTGCGCTCGCCRCAGGCAGGCGGCTGCCCCAGGGCCTCGGGGAAGGTGCTTCCCGCCTCCCTCCTCCCGCCGTTTTGCGTGTTCCCGCTCCTGCTCCGCTCTCCSAGGGGCCATGAGGATGCAGGTGCCGTCGTGTCCAGCGCGTTGGCTGCCCTGAGAGCCTGGCCTCTAGGTTGCCTCGCGTGCAGCGGGTGCAMATATCACCTCCTAGCCCTGGTAGCACAGCGGTCATCGCTTGCTCGCGTTACTTGCCAAGCGTCTGGGGCACATCTCCTTGTCTGAAGGAGGCAATAGGCAGCCTCTTTGGCCTCCTTGTTCCGATGTTTATCGTCGTTTCGATGGTTTCTATTGCCCCTGCTGCAGAATGGAGCCCTTTCTTTTCCCTTCCACGTGCCCAGAGGGTTGCTGCTAACTCCTGCTCGCCACGAACGGGAGGGAGTAAATTAATACAAAGGATTTGCTGAAGTCGGTGAGGTCTTAGCTGACATCAGGAATTGGCCGAAGGATAATGAGCTCGGCTCCCGCTCAGGGCGCCACAAACGCCCTCTCCGTAAGTGCCGTGGAGTAATTCTGGTCACGTTTCTAGAGCAAACATTGCACATCGGGTGGGAGTTAAGCTAGGGAGAACGCCAGATTTCCTTCTTTTTTTTTTTTTTTTAATTTTTATTTTTTTTTCTTCCCAAGAACAACTCGGCTATAGAGCTGCAGCTAGCTCGATATGGGAGGGATTTCGCTTCCTCTCGCCGTCTCAGAGCTTCTGTGCAGCAGGAGTCTGATTAACTTCCTTCAGCAAACGAGCAACTGGATCTGAACTGTTGCAGCACATAGAACTTCCTGCCTTGAACAACTAGTTCTTGCCTTTAGTTCTTCTTTTGCTACTTTTTTAAGGAAAAAAAAGAATAATTCTTTTGCAGCCAGATTGGACCTTCTGCTGTCACATGCTTAATAGCATAATTATATACATTGGAACCAACTGGGAATAGAGTTTCAAGCTTACTTCACTGTATCAAATTAAAAAAAAAAAGGCAGGCTAAATATAACTGCAATCATAATTCCTGCATTCCTTTCCAATCCTGATTTATTTTATTTTATTTTATTTTATTTTATTTTATTTTATTTTATTTTATTTTATTTTATTTTATTTTATTTTATTTTATTTTATTTTATTTTAT